TGGACAAAGCTTTATGAAATTAAACATCGATCAGATCAAATGTGATCTCTGGGCTTTAGTGTTTTTTCTGAAGGTTTTATTCTAAATTAAACAAGAGCAGTTGGAGGTGAACTTTTGCCATGATATTAAATCTGTTTTTGGTTTTGTAATGAAACCACCCTTCAAATATATTAGATAGCTGTTATAAAATGTGTGTGCGTGCAGTAATATACAGGTTGTAGTGTGACATACAACTAGTATACAGCAAATACTAGTAGATGTTTGTTAATTATACAAGACTTCAAAGTGGTAGCTTGTATTTTTATGATTATCATATTTAAATTTGACTTATACATTTGTTATGAACATTAGAATTAATTTTTAAAAATCATATTTTGCAATATAAACAAAGAAAATTTAATGATAAAAGAAAATCAATTTACCTATATGGAATTTAAACCAGGGTATTATCTGCTAAATGAACACAGCACTGCTATACAAGGGAAGTTATGCCAACTAAAGCCTTAGAAAAATCTAATGATAAATACAAAAACAGAAGGCATGAACTTAAGTTAACTGTAAATGAACATTGACATGTCTGATTGCAACAGACATCTCTTTGCTTGTAATAAATGCAAGCATCTTTTCAATGAAGCAAAGTTACTGTTTGCTGACAGAAGCAATGCATAGCATCTTGCAAGTTTGGTCCTAGAGATTATTGATGGCTCTGCAAGAGTGTGTTGAAACATAGCAATACCCTATTTAATCAATTCAAAGTCCTGACATCTACAGCAGATAAGGTTGAATACTTTGCTCGGAAATACTCTTCCAACTCAACACTCAACTCACCTGGAGTACACACAATTGATTCCCCTCAACTCCTGCTGAGAACTGAAGCTATACCGAGTGATATATGTATAACCCTGTCATTGGTCTTAGACATCATTTCTAAATTAGATTCCCATAAGGCAAAGTGGAGGTGACAGGATACCACCTGACATCCTAAAGAAATGCTGGCTCCAATTCTCCCCAAACTTTACAACTTATGTTGCTTCTGCTTTCCAGCTTATTGGAAGTCCTCTTCTGTAGTCCTTGTTTTCAATAACTCTGGCGAACCTTCTATTGCCCCTATTAGTCTCCTACTACTTCTCGACAAAGTATTTGAGGCTTTAATCAATGCTTAAGTGGTTAAGCATCTTACTTATCACAACCTCCTCTCTGACAAAAAATATGGATTCTGTTTTGCTCAGTCTACATCAAGGGTCGACAACCTACGGCCCGCGAGCCTGATTACCAATGACTCTATTTTTAACATGAGAGACGACCTTCAAATGAAATTTGTTATATGTCATTTTCCATAGAATGCCTACACATCTCAGTGTACTAAAAATATTAGACTATCTGCCAGTTATCTTTTATGAGACTTATTTTACCAAGTTGTGTTGCCTATGTTTAATGTCAAATAATGGATACATATTTGTTATGACCCTTGGCTACATTAAAAGATAACAGAAGCGAAAGGAATGATAAAGTGAAAGAGGCCAGGGAGGGACTGACATGCAAGGTAGCAGAAATCTAAAGATAGTTAAACATACGTGCATTATACATACATGCCTCAAGAATGTGTGGATGATACCGCATGTGTACGTATGTAAGTGTATATGTTTGCAACTATTTATACTCGTATGTATGGGTATATGTGCTTCATTTTTGTTTGATGCGTGTGTGTGTGTGTGTGGTTCATTTGTGGAACAATTTTCAATAATAGTTTCAAACCTACACATCATAATTTCATCCATTTCACTTCGGTTGATTTTTTTTACTTTGAAGTATTTTGACGTTCCTTGAGGAAAAGTAATTTTTGTTAGTTGTTTTTTAATTTTAGATTTTCTTTTGTTTTTCTGATTTCTCAATGTTTATTTTCATTATGGCTTTAAATATTTAGGTTGACAGGGGTTTGTATATGTAATTTTCCTTAATTTTTCATTAATGTCCTTTGTCCAGCCCACGACCCGTCATTATAACACGATCTGGCTCGCAGGGTCGAATGAGTTGCCGACCCCTGGTCTACATGCTAGTGGCCATCTCTCAGTATGTATATAATGCTCTTGATAATAAGGGCAAAGCTCAAGCTGTGGCTCTAGATATCTCAAAGGTGTTTGACAAGATATGGCAATACAGGTCTTCTATGTAAGCTTCAGGGCTACATACAGGTTTTCTATGTAAGCTTCAGGGCTACATACAGGTCTTCTATGCAAGCTTCAGGGCTACATACAGGTCTTCTATGCAAGCTTCAGGGCTACATACAGGTCTTCTATGCAAGCTTCAGGGCTACATACAGGTCTTCTATAACAGTTGATTCAATCCAATCATTGCTATCAAATCATGAAATGAAGGTCGTTTTTGCTTCCAGATCCTTTCACACTAACATGGTGTCCCCCAAGACTCTATACTGGATGCCATCAGTTCTGAAGTAGGCATTTACGCAGATGACACTTTCAGAGCTGACAAAGTTAACCTGGCTGCTGCACTTGAAAAGGAACGCCAATCCATGGTTAATTGGGGCAGGAAATGGTTGGCCATTTTTAATACCTCCAAAACTAAACTGCTCTTATTTAACCTCATAGAGAAAGAACTTCCCTGCCCACCATCAGCATGGCTGATGCTCAGCTTCAGGAGAGCATTTCATTGTGCCTTCTTGGCCTCACGTTTTCAATTGACTTGAAGTAGAACAACTACATTGAATCAATAGCTGAATTTTCTGAAAGAAAAATTGGTTCATTGTGTCATGCCAGAAGGTTTTTTTCATCAGAGTCCATTTTGCACATTTACCAAACAAACATTTGTCCATGCATTGAATACTGTTGCCATATCTGGTCTAGTGCTCCTGAAGTTTATCTAGAGGTTCTTGACAAAATCCAAAGAAAGACCTGTAATGTAATCTGACTTGACATCTCTATTTCAGTCACTTTCTCACAGACGTGATGTGGCTTCCCTCTGTCTTTTCTACAAATATTTTCATGGCAACTGCTCTGATGAGTTTTTTCCCTTGGTGCCCTGACCACAAGAATTTAAGCATTCTACTAGATTGGCTTCTATGTCTCACATTTTTACTGTTGAAATAGTTAAATGTAGCCACCACTTCTACTCCAACAGTTTTTTTCGTTGCACTTCCCGACATTGGGACTCCCTTCTGTTTACTTGCTTCCCTGATAACTACAATGTTCAAAAATTTAAATGCAATTTCAATCACTATCTTCTGTTGTTTTGAACCCCACTCATCTTTTATCTTTTCCTAAGTTCCCCCCTAGACCCAGCCTTTTCACCTCTCTTTCACTCTCTGTAACCCCCTGTGTACTACTGGCACTTCCACCTTGCTTAGGGTGAAATGATAAAAAAACAAAAAAAAAAAATAACACCTTTCTTTGATTTATTTTTTTTTATGTTCATGAAAAATAAACTTAGTAAACATGCTTAAAAAGATTCTGATAAATTCAATTGGTTATAAGCAGTGCTGACATATTGTGTTACTTTTGTAGCAAATTTGTTTCTTTTCATATTTGGGAGAAAATATTAAGAAAAAATTGTCTTACAATATTTTTAAAAATATTCTTTATACATTTACTTCAAAATATTTTAAATTATTAGTTTTATGAAGAAATTAACACGGTGGAAATCATTAAATTACAAATGGAAAATGTGCAAAATAATGTACAAAATATACTGTATAGCTTTCATTATATATTCTGTACATTATTCATATATAAATCTTACGAGTCATACTATATGTTTCTGGGTTGACTGACTCACACTGAGTCAGTCAGCAGTCTGTCTGTCAGTGTTCTAATTACAAATTTGTAAGAGTGTTTACCATAAATTGTGAATACACTTGCTCTTATCTTTTTTAGATTTTGTTCCATTTTTAGTTGATTCCTTAACTTGTTTAATTTCTCAGCTTTACCTCAAGTTTTATGGCAGCTATGATGATAATTTTGATAAGGTAACATTCAATCTGTCACTGTGATAAAACTAATGTTCTTGCATTTGATGCATTTTTATATAATGATTCTATTGATCAGTTCTTTAACCTTCTCCAGGTGAAATTTAGTTAAAGCTGTGTAAGTTAGTTAATATTGTAATTGTCAAATGATTGTATAGAAAATATTTTGAAATATTTAAGTTACAATAGACTGGAAAATTGACCATTTCTATCAATGAGGTAAAAAACAGATGAATGTTGAATAAAGTATGATGTCATGAATAATACATCATTTCAGGACCTACTGTGATAAATTCTTTGGTTTTGAACATAAATGTTGATGAAAAATATGCTTTTATGATACATCAAGTGTATAAAAACTGATTGCTCATGGTAGTAAGTTCAATTATTGCTGCAATCTCTGTATTTTTCAAGCAAGTAGTGGCTTAGTACAAGAAAACCAAAAATCATATAAAATGACCCCAAGAGGACAAAACAAGATTTTATATGGATTCCCAGATTGTTTGAAATATTAATGTTTACTAAGACGCCACACCTTACAAATTGGTGACATGAAACAATGAAAGATAAAAGTATTAATTTCTCACAAAACAAAGTTGTTCTTTTAATCAAGCAGTTGAAAAGAAAGTGGTATGTAGTCTCAATCCACAGAGGGATGAATTTAGAAAAATTTTCTTCTTTCTTTTTTGTTGTTAAAGATTTAATTTTGCTTATGAATTAACAAGAGTTTTATATTGCTTTCATTATTAAACTTAAGAGTTTGGTAAAAAATAAATAAAACTGAGAAAACATTTCCAGCCAACACTTAAAATAATCACAACTGGAAATGTAAGGTCAAGAATGACTGACTGACCTAAAAGTGTTGTGTAGTTGGTCATACCCAGGAACTGGTCAGAATACCTATTGATGTTTCTTTTATTGCTTTCTTGAAGTTATGGCCAATACAGAATTCATTAGAAAAAAAAATCACTAGTGAGACAGAAATATAATTTGTGTAGGTATAAAATGTATATAGAGTTACCTGTTAGACCAGTTTCTTCATGTATTCTTTGTATTAAGTCTTTTGCTAGATCATTAGGTTTGACTGCAAGATCAAATTCATGAGCAGAAACAAAACACTGATTGTTCACCAGGTGAATAGAAGGATCCTGAAAATAAAAAAATAAATAATAGATGGAAAATTAAACACTAAAAATAACATTTATATAAAACAGTAATTCTAATGGTTAATAGAATTTTCTTCCTTATAAAAAATTACTCTATTTTCACATTATACCCTAAAACTTTTCAAAGCCTTTAGCTGGTGTAATATAGTATGTCTATTATAGGATAAATGAGGAGTCATGGTTGAAATATTGAAAGTACCATAGACAGGAGAAGAATATGTCTTATTCTCCTTAAGACTATCCTTATATATAAAGAATTGGAAGACATGCATTTTTATTGTGGTCTCTTGAAAAAATGCCTTACACACTGTAGAATTCATTTAATAGATAAATACAATCTGAGAGAGAGAGATCATGAAACAATATATTTTGTAAAATTCATCCAAAAGTGAATGCTTTAATAACATGAAAACTGTCAAAAGGACTTATGACTGTTAGAAATCCTATAAGATGTCCTGTTTTACAAGTTTTGAGAAACATTGTTAAATTATGCATGCAAGATGCAATGAAAAAGTTGTGCAAGTTTGAATAACATGTATAAACTGGATGCTGTACAGATATTTGGTATTTTACCCTTTATGAGGTTAGAGGGCTACTTTTAACAGACAGTGAAAGTGGGTGTTAGGATAACTAGTTTTTTCATGGTAACATTCTTTAAAGTCTTGTTTGGTTTGTTTTATGGCATATTTACCTCAATGGGTTATTTAATTGATAGTAATATTTTTTTCAAAAAATGTATTTCTGGTAATATTTTTTTCTTCAAAAATGTATTTCTGGTTTGGTTTGGTTTGTTTTACGGCATATCAACCTCAATGGGTTATTTAATGCTGACAAAATTTTTATTTCTGGTAATATTTTTTCTTTAAAAACGTATAGCTGATAGTATTTTTTTTCAAAAGTGTATTGCAGGTAATAAATATATTTTACAAAGTATTTCTGCTATTAAAACCTATTTTTATACTTATATAGTGTTTTGACCTTAGTTTGGGGGCTAACTATTTACCCATAGTTGGGACCCTAACAGGTACTACCACCCAATGTCAGTATGGACCTGGGAACACCAACAATTAAGAGGTGGTTCCATGCTCTTCAAAACCTCCTGATAAGAGGCTTTGCTGTAGGATGTAGTTTATCATCTTACCCAGGATGTGGATGTAGTTTATCATCATACTCAGGACAGTTAAATTCTTGTGTAGTACCTTTATGTGTGAACACACACACACACACACACACACACACACACTATTATAAAAAAAAACTTAACCCATGAAAATTGCATATAAAAAAGAAAAATCAAGAAGTATAAGCAGTCAATTGGTGATACCCCTGACAAGTAGACGGAGTAATTCCAGGAGGATCCATCTAAGAAAGGAATCAGGATGCTGAAGTTAAACTCAATCAGCGAAGTGGCAAATCTTTTACATGTATTAATTATATGTATATATACTAAAATGACTCTTCAAGTATATATTTCTAATAAACACTTTTCCAAGTAGTCAGGTATAATTATAAGGAAAAAACATTATTACCACTAACTTAAAGCATCTCTAGTAATGAAAAATATCTTTCATTACCACATCCACTGCTGTATAGCTGGCTGGGCTGGCCCATTTTGAAAAAAAATAAATTGTCATTTGATACTATAAAAATGTTGGCGGCAATTTCTCATGTATGCTACCATTTTGGTTTCAACTGGAGTACAGACTAAGCTCAATGATACTCCTACACAAAATATAAAAATATATCATAAAACAAGTTGTATTGTAGGCTACTATATATCTATATAGGTTTGGAAATAATAGAAAGTGCTAGTTAATTAATAAGAGAAATGCTAGGAACCAACATATTATGGTTGTCTTGAAAACAAATATATACATTGACAACAGGTAAGTTTTATAAAGATGTATAAGTATGTCCACAATAGCAGAAGTGTCAAACATTGTCTAGTTATTCATGTTTTTATGAGAGACAACCAAATGGATGCAGTTTCTGTCCAATCTTTTGAGCTTTTTCTTTTTCATTTACACTATTCTGGTTGTCAGAGTAAGATAAATCTATTAACTATTGTGATTTATTTATATAAATCTTAACTATTGTTGTTCTATATTTTTAATTCTGCCTTAAACATGTTAAGCTCCAATAATTTACTAGTCAACATATTTTAATAAGTATAGGCAATATTTGTTATTTTTGAAGATTATTGAAAAGTTTTCAGTTCAACCAAGAAGATCTTTAAAAATAAATGAAAATCTAATGTTTGGTTAGATTTTGAGAAATGGGTCAGACTGAGAACTTTCAAGCATCCTTGTACACACACACAAGCACAATGTTAGAATAATTGTTACTGGCACAATGAAGAGAATGAAGAGCATTTTAATCTTAACCAAGCTTGTTTAAGTTCACTTTGCACTAATAACATTGAGAAGGGCAGGAATCTACTCTACACTGTGATCAGGTCCAAGATGACGTTTTATTGAGATAGCACTATAATTTTATTAATATCTCTAAAGGCATATTATACTGCTTGAAAGTGAATGAACACCTGGGAACTAACTTACCTACAGCAGCAGGAACAAAAAACTGTATTTTGTAAAAAAAAAAAAAAAAAAAAGGAGAAGAGGTAGTTGTATTTAGACTTCCTCTTACTCTCTGACTTAACAAAGGACACTCTTAGAATAACTATCCTAGGAATTAATATATAAATTATATGGAAGCAATTCTAGAAAAAAAGGTGATCAGTATAATTAAGATTCTTTCATTACCAGATTGTTAATCTATAAGACACATCTACTTATATTTTATAAGGGAATTGTTAAAAAGGAAATTCTAATCTCTTAGTATACTTTAACATATCTTGATTGTACAACTTAAACTGCATAACAGGGCAAGTGTGAAAATCAGATACCTTTTTTTTTTTAAGTATGTCAAACAAGAGCTAGTAAAAATGACTTCCTACTATAAGAGTTGAAAATTATTTTTTGTCTACACATAAAAACAAAAAGTATTTCTGCATTCATTAAATCCAACTTAAAGCTGTTAATCTGAAATATGATTGTTAAATTTAGCCGTGACCAGTTGAAAATTATTTTTCTATATTCTAAAATTCTGACCTGATAACAATATGTGTTAGTATATGATAATAAAGATATAAATAAGTTACTCTGTCATAGTACAATTCAACAAACTCATTAAAGATGGGCATATACATATATATATCCCTAAATATGTGTAATGTTCTAGGAGCTTAGAAGAAAAAAGGCAATATTGCTGTAGGAGCCAGCCAAAACATCCCTGGGGTTTATAGGATAGTTTCTTTAAATAAAAGGAATTTCCAAAGATGGTTTGGAATGCTTAGAAATGTTAACATCAACTTTAAAAAGAAAAGAAAAAAGGCAATATTGCTGTAGGAGGCAACCAAAATATTGTTCACCTAATACATGGCCAAAGAGTCACTCCAGATAGAATAATGGTTTTGTATGTAGATAACAGTTGACTCCAAACTTGAAAAAGTTAAGATTGTTGTGATCAGGGAAGCTTCCACTTGGGAGTCTATATCACAAGTAGTGGTACTTAGGGAGAAGCTGTCCAAATGCAACATTTTTTCCAATGGAAAGACAAAGCAAATGAGGATGTTTTGATCATGTAAATGATGGGTCTTAGCTGTAAAGGACAGATCTGGTTGAACTGAGTAATATCACTCATCAGAACATTTTCCATGAAAATAGCAATAGAGCAGCAAAATGCTTGCCATGCTTTGTCTGTTGGAAAGGAGTTGTAAGGAAGAAAATAATTTACTAATAAGGCCATGTTTTTGATAAGTTTGGAAACTTCCTTTGCCAAGATAGAGATTGTGCTCCTTGACAGGTGGGAAGATAGGTAGAGGATGGATCTTGTTATCTAACATGGAGTTAAGCAAGAGTTTTGCCATATCTGATGGAAATTTAGTATAATAAGCACTACTGTTATTGAGAATTTTGTTTGTGATTTTCTAAAGCACATGGGTAACTTTGACTTGAACTGACTGCATGTAACTAGCCATTGCATTTTCCGGAATTCTTTTGCACTGACTGCAAGCACTTCTGAATGCAGCAAATGTTATACTACACTGTTTTGTATAATAGAGATGGTGGTAGTGTTGATATTTCTTGTTTAGGATAAAACTATCCATGCCAGAGAAAATGAAGGCAGCTGTTCTGGATGCTTCTATATTTGAAGAATTCTGAAAGAGGAGCTTTGTTGCACCAAAAGATATTCCTATGAAATGGGACATCAGATAATGCATTTGGTTTGACATCAATCTTGACCTAGACCAGAGATTGGTATGAAGTAAAACAATATCTCAGTGAAATATTTGTCAGGATAGGAGACAAGAACAAAGTCCAGGAGGTTTTATATGTGATGCCCAATTATATTTGGGAACATAACTGTAGACTTCTCTATGATCATAAATGATTAGGAAGTTATGACAGTATACCTTTCTTTATTGGGTTTTGTTTCAGTGGACTAGCCATTCCTCATAGTGAATATTGAATTCATCACAATTATGAATGCTAGCTGATGGATGATTAGAGAGGATATCATTAATCTTCTCAGCTATTTTGTCAATAATTACAATTCCATCATCCTTAGGGTGATAGACAGTGAATGTGGGCCATGTGAAAGCACATGAATGGCTAATCAGGATCCTTGTCTGGGGGGTGGTCTCTGTCACATGGGAAGTCTACCTTGATATAGGTGGCACCAAGTTCAGGGTCATGGTGATTTAAAGGATCTTGTTTTGTGTGGGTACAGAGAGTAGCCAGGGAATGTGAATTCAGAAACAATGGAGACCAATCAGACAGGATTGTGTAGTTAGTTTTGATTTCTTAAAGATGGCGTTCAACTTATCTAAATTTGGAACATAGGCCCTTTCTTGTATTGTTATAGGAGATTGAATAACTGGGATCTACTTTTGTCTTTGCAGAACTGAATTTGTTTCTATTGTTTGATTTACCTGTGGATATGGTTTGGTATATTGAAATATTAGAAAGGTAAAGAATAGCAATAGTCACAAGTAATATGTGTAAGAACTACCTGGATTAATTGGCAGAAAGTACACTTCATAATGGCACTGAGAGGTGCCCCCATTAGGAACTACATCATGCTCCAGATACCACTCACAATATGTTAATACATTCATTAGCCCTAATATTATACACCTGCTGATGGAATAGACTCCTAATCAAAGTTCTTTTTCTTGTTTATTTGTTGTTTTGTAATTTTCTGTTTTCAGCCTGTAGCAGCATATTTCGATGTCCAAGCTTAACTTCTTCTCAATAAAAGTAGAGAGTCAGAGGCCGACATCTCCAGTTACTGGTCAGCCATTAAATTTGACCTAAATATTAACCAAAGTATTCAATGGATAAATTCTTTAAATGAAAAGAATTGTCAAAGATAGTTTGAAAAGTTTTGAAATTGTGACATCAGCTTGAAACATTATGGACAGGTTATAAAGTCTGTCCAATACTGGTAGAAATAATGCTGTTACAGTCTAAGAATTTAGTTAATTACTTTCAGGCCATTCAATAGTTTAGCTTCATCTTCTTAAACTTACAAAATGGGTTCTTCAGGATCTGACTGCCATAAATCAAGTATACAGTTCTTTTCCCTCTCAAGAATACAGCTCATTTTTGGATAAAAATTCAATATTTTACAATATAAAATAATATAGACAATAGTTTAGTGAATACAAGCAAAATTGGACCTCCACACCCAAGGAAATTTTTCTAATTTTGATAGGATTGATAAGTAAATAAAAATTGATATTTGGTAGAAATAATGTGGTTTATTTTGAATTGATACCAATCAATATTTGGTAGGATTATTGTGGTCTGCATTAAATTAATACCAATCAATGCTATGATCACAGCAGATATTACTAACAGTAAGAACATTTGAACACAAAAACATTTCGAAAGGTCTGAAGCTCTATAAATGCATGGGCCCCATAAAGCAAAAATCACAACTGAAAAGAGTGATTTGGTTTTGAAAATAATTTCATAACCAGATATTTTTCAGATCTTGATCAATCTAATCAGTACTAATACAAGAGTTTACAGATCTGCCTTGATGGACTAGTTTTTAAAATAATTTCTTTCCTACTAAGCAAAAACATTTTTACAAAAATGATATTTAGAATCTTGCAAATTACTAGAAGGATATGATTGATAATGATGGAAGCTATGTTAATTTATAATTATTGTCTTCAATTTTGAGATCAGGAATTATCTTTATTATGTACAGATTTATTCAGACTTCACTCTGTTGTTATTGCATTTCAGCTCTTGTATTCTTCAGCCTAGTGTATAAAAATATTGTTTAAGCAGATTGAGTTTCCTAGCATTCATGAATTCAATTACTGGTTCATATAGTGGGGATAAGTGATTCAAATTGATTCAAAGAAGATAATATCACAAGGACACCAGAGTTAACAGACATGAGATTTCCTCTAACATGTACAACAAAAAGAGAACAATCTGCTTCTGTAGATTGAATAAAGGGTTCAGTTTGATGCTCAAAGAAAGTGACAAATTACAACAGACACATGATGCAGGCCATAAATTAAAATGAACAAGTGATGTGATAATAACAACTA